TAAATTCTTATCTAGTTCAATAATAAATATACCGGGTACTTTGTTTATTAAATTTTAAAGCAGTCTTTTGTGCTTGAGTGTAAAGTTCTGTAGTATGCAATAATATTCTTTTTTGTTTGATATTTTAAATGTAATATGATAATACCAAGATACTAAAACTGAATCCTTGTTTATTTAATGTACTTGTACATAACCATACATACATGCACACACACAAACCACCTTTCACGTGTACTATTTTCAGTCTATCAGAGAAAAAAATTCTGGTTGCTTCATTAAAAGCAGTACAGAAGATGCACACATGCTTATACGCACTTGTTGAGGGCAAACACAGATTATTCACTATTTCTGTTATCAAAGGAGCTTCACATTGCAAATCCTCCATTTACAAATCACAGAACCTCAGCTTTACTTAATCTTGTCATGTTGTCACATTTGACTAGCCATGCGAACTGACCTAGAACTGTAAGCACCGGGAAGGCAAGCTGTCGAAGAGATAATGACAAAGATGCCAAAAAGGGCTGCCAGTGTTTTCACTGGGTGAGAAAAAGGAATTAATCAAACTTCATGAAAGAAGAACAGAGGATAATCAAAGCGTTTACTGATTTTTATCAACTGATCCAATAGCTGAACATCTTTACCACACAACTACCAAGAGCAGTAAAAGCTGTAACAAATGGAATTCCATATAAGCAACTATTTACAGCAGCAGTAAACGCAAGTTTAAACTGCCAACATAAAGGACACTTGAATTTATAGAAGTTTAATAATGTGCATTAGTACAACATTTCCTAGTCTTTCCAGAGCAAAAACTTCAGTATCTGCTATTTTTCACAGGGAAAAGCAGTACAGCCTTAAATAAATACTAGCACAAAGACCTTACAGATGCTCCTTCATCTTCATTTTTTATTTTATCTGATTAGTGGAAGAGCATAACATAATAATAAAATTATCTCATAGAAAATGGTTATCTTCCCAGTCAAATTGCTTCATGAAATGAAGTCAAACCCATAGGCAGCAATACTAAAAGGGAAGAACCTCTCACAACTGAACATATGTCTTTACACAGTAATTCAAAAAGGCTGAAGGAAATCTCTCTGAAACTGCATTTTTCCAAAGCAGTTTGGATTATATGTACTTCTCGGAAATTCCTTTGAAAGAGTGTAATCTGATCAATATCTCCTACCAGACATGTGAATAAGTCAATGAGATGTATGCAAGCATGTATGGCAAAATTTTGACCAGTTACGATTATTTATGTGCCGTAGCAGAGGTACGCCACAACAGGCACCTTAACCGTTCTAAGCACTTTGTCAAATATTAATTTGGTTTTAAAAAAAGTATCTCCATATTTGCTATTGTTTCATGAATTAAATTTGTGGTAGTGTTACTGTTGACGTGTTAATGATAGTATAGAGGAAAACTGCAATGACTTGAGCAATTGCATTGGCTAAAAATTGCCAATATTCTGTTCAAACTATTTCAGTAGTACAAACTCCAATGTTTGCTTCTTTAAGCTGCCTGCTTTTGTGAAATGTTTTTCCTAGAGTTATAAAATTAAACCTTTCAGAATGTTTAATCTGTTTTGGAGACTGTATCTTTCTACAAATGGAGGTCAATAACTTAATCTAAGACTGTCAACTTCTAAAGCTTTATAATGCATTTCTTTTGCACGCACACACACGCAATCCCGCCTCCTGGGGATGATTCTGCTCAAATATGTAAATAAATACAGTCACAATTGGACAGATGTTATATCCACTTCCACCATACTTCATTCCAAATTTAGGTTTATATATACACTTGCCTCTTTCTCTGTTGTTTCAAAATCATAAACTGCATATACACTTGGAAGAAAAATAGTACGAGGCATGCAACCGCACTGGATTTGTTTGTTTGTAGTTGGAAGTTGGATAACAGTTAAAAATTGGAGGAAGAAAGAAAGAGTGATATAAATATAGAATAATGATCCTGTCCCATATTTACACAAAAATCATAAAATGTAATATGCAGGTACATCCTAGAATGCACTTGGAAAAGACACTACAAAATATTTATTTCTTTACAAACTACAAATTTTGATCTTACAAAACCTAGAAGAAAAAGAAGTATATTGAGCACTGATTTGAAAAATTCATTAAAAATGCTAAAGATTCAAAATGAACAATGTTCTGTAACCAACATGTAAATAAACCATGGGCTTATTCTGGGTCTCATTCTGATTTACTAGGAGCCTATTAGGGCAGGATGCCCGTTGCCCCCATCAGCCAGGAACCTCAGGATTAATTCTCCCCTAATGTACCCATTGTCAGAGATTTGCTAGAGGGTGTTCAGAGATCCGTGTTAAAATTCCATCATCAAACTGATAGGAGGTTTCCGACAGTTTCCCTACCTCTGTTCTAGTTCAGGTCTGTTTGCAGACTCTTTAATCATGCCTGCCAGAGACGATCTATCCCAGAAGCACAGAACTTCTCTTCTGAAGAGTAATTACTTTTAGCTTCAGAATGCACTGGATGCAATCAAGAGTGAATTATTTTTAAATTTCCCATGGAAGGATCCCTCTGTCAGATACGTGAGTATGTTTTCTTTATATAATGTGCATGCAAGAACAGATACACATACATAAATAGAAATGTGTATATGGACACACTATCCGTTCATTAACACATTTATTTATTCAAGATTACTTGATTCCCAAATCAGAAACGATGTCGTGTTGCTGAGGGCTAAGTACCCTCTGGCAGGAATGATAAAGTGTTAGGAGGAGAAGGGTGAATATTACCAGCAGAATCACCCAAGACCTCCCATTTCCATTTGATGATAAAGTTCAAACCAAAAGTTTACTTGTTATATTATTATTTGAAATCTACAAACACGCACATTCTTTACAAGGAAACAGTACAAACATACATATACTCACATTTCAGACATTGAGCATATTATCAGTATCTTCACTTTATATTAATTTTACAAACAGTTGAATTACTGTAATGGAGTTTAGGAGCACTAAAAAAAGCACTATAAAATTGTACTGTAGGTGTTTTGCATGCATCTGAAAAACCACAGGAAGGTTCGCTTCGGTTCTAGAAGTTTATGTATCTCTATATATGCTCCATGTATTACAACACAAAACATCAGATAATAAATTAGCTGAAAGTCAACTTACAGATTTGAAAGACCAAATGCAACTTTGGCAACTGGTACCACAGGAATATGGGCCAGACATTTATTTTTTTGTAAAGCCAGAAGTCCTTTAAATTCTATGACTAAAATTTAGGTATATAAGAAACAGAAGATACAGGCTTTCATTAGCTTTCTCCTTCAGACCATATTACAAAAAAGGCACCTACAGTCACCTATGACAGATATGTTTATCGTATGCTCAAAAACATACCTAACAAAAATACCTTATTGTTGAATTAATTCAACAGAGGTAATCAACTGGTAAACTGAAAAGTTTTAATAAATCTATTTCCTTCTGTGTAAAGTTCACTGAATTTACTGATAAACAAGAGCGCTACATTTTTGACTGCAATTCCAAATTAGTGATATACGGAATATGTATAATATAGTCTTGGACACTTAAATTGTGCCTGAACTGAGGGGAAAAAAATGTCTTTATTAGAGAAATAATTATTGCTTAGAAGGGTTCACTCTGCAAAACAGGAAATTGTTTTCAGGACAAGAAAAGTATTAAAGACTGCATGTCTATCTCAAGAATTCCAAGTTAAAAAATTGCTAAAATAATTATATTTATTCCTAGATTTATAAATTGGTAGCCTCCCTACTACAGCTCACTCTAATCCGGAGCTGAGCAGGAAGCACAAGTGAAATAACGAAAGCCAAAATCCAAGTCTACTGAGATCAAGAAAGTGTCAAATGCTGAATTCTCAAAATGTATTCTCTTAATGATTTAGAGCTTTGAAAAATCTATGTTAAATCAGGTTTTGTTACAGAAGAACTTTTCAGATTACCACCAAAAATGCTATGGCTAGCATAGAGATTATTACAATTTTGGCATATTTTGGCTTTAGCTACGATCTTCTTTTTCATAAAAAAATGTTTTTATTTGTTTCTATGTAGGTCACTATGGCATAAACAGAAAACTCTTCGCCTTTCATTTATTTCTGCTAACGTAAAACTCTATAAATAACACCAACATTTTGTGTCACACTATATATCCTTTCATCCTTCAATACAAGCAGCTTCTATGAACTCAGTAGATCTTTTGCATAACATTATTGGCAGAATATGTCCCGGCACTGTTACTATTTATCTTGGCTTTTGATTTCTTATGTAGCGACATAATACCATCCTTACCTGAATTAAGACTAAGATTGTTCAAACTCTATTGCTTAAAAGAGAGACAATCCCTTGACATATTCAATATATTTATAAATTACCATTACCTTTTAAAAACATTGTTCATTCTTCTGTACCCATGGCTTATAACATGATAGTATATTAGCAAAGCAGCTAAGACTTTTTACTTACTAGAGAGCGATCCTCTGAAGACACAGACCCTCTCTCCCACTATCTTATCCATAGGATAGACTTTGTGAGTGCTTTAGGGTCTGCAGTACCCTTGTGGGCAATATTTGCCCCCAGAGAGTTGAAAAGAAAATTGTTAAATCTATAGCACTTACAATGTCCTACATACATCTAAGCCTTTCCTCTTTTCATTAGTTCTGGTTTTTTTGGCTTCTTTAAAGTCACAATCTTGATTGTACTGCACAGTAAGTATTTATTAGAAGGTTTAACATATCCTTACTTTTCTAGGCCATTTTATATTTAAACTGGAAATAAAACACCAAAGTCAGCAAAATAACCTAATGTCTTTTATATGGCAGAACCTATAGGCTCAAGCTATAAATTAATTAAACTATTCCAAAGATTTATACTATGGACTTTCCTATGCTTTCTCTTACGATTAAATGCAGCATGTGAAAAAGGATATTGACACCTGGATGGATGCATCAAGAAGTATCAATGATTGTTACCTGCAGAGGTGTTACAAGAAATTTCATCTGCTGCAACGAAGACGAATTGATTTCTGCAAGAGAAGATAAAATTCACAATACTGCTTGCTGACTGGGAAATGTGCTAGCTGCCAATTGACTTGATGTTTACAGATGGGGTAGGGTAAGGGTGCTTAATTTTAATGAATGTAGCAAGAAAAAGTGTTGACGTATTTCAGTACTATAGAGTTTATAAGGATCATGAGGTAGACATGCTGGGATCTTTTAAATGAAATAATGGTGACATTTGGATATGGACTATGTACAAACTCTTGCATTGGAAGCTTCATGTTTAGTGTTACAGATATGTCGATATATTTATGAAGTCTAATAAAAATAAAACAATATTTATATTGATATGGATACTAAAGGGCACTACTGCAAAAGATGTAAAAAGCGTTTTTTGAAAAAAGTAATTGCAATTTACTTCGTGCATCTGAAAGGAGGATACTGAAAGTAAAATATTTTGCTTTTTATGTCTAATACTATTGCCATCAGAAAATGAATTTTCTGCTATTTATTAAAAAAATGACATAGTATATTCTCATATACTGTCATCCAAATACATACAAAAGTCTTTTGCAGAATCTTAGGAGAATAAACTAGAGATATGAGTAATTTAATATAAACCTTCTCTTGCAAAATTCTTTTTTAAACGAGGTAACATGAAAAGAGAAATGCTAAATACGCTAATATTTCAAAATGCAGAAAACTTCACTATGGCACAAATCCTGATTTGTCCTTTCCAAAGTCAAAGCAAAAGGATTTGGGTGAATGGAAACCATGTTTAAGGTTTAACATCAAATGATTCCTTTATATGCATATACATAGCTTCCTTGAATTATCTTTGTGTTGTGTGGGATTAATAAAGAACCTGGGTGAAACACTTGGGTACTGTTTTACTCCAAATGGCATGTGGCTCCTCCAGCCTGCGCTGCTAGGCATGCTGAAAAGTTTTTCTGTTTTGCACAGCTTTAATGCAAGAGTCTACCAAATAGGAGCTAGAAGGAACTAGTTCTAGCTTGTACTAAGGACTACCTGGAAAACTTCGTTCTGCAAGACGATGAAAGCTCTGTCAAGCATTAAGTACTCTGAAGATCCTATTGAAAACTATTCAGTTCAGGAGCAAACATCTCTTAGGGGTAACAGAACCTTGAGGAGTTAAACCCTAAGAGAACAAAACCTAGTTCTATTACTTCACCTCCAATTTATTAGAGAGATTTGAAATTCTCGTTTGGAAATCTGTGAACCTTGTTACTTAGAAGTTCACATTTTTGGGGAAAAGAAAAAACCCAAAACAAAATAAGGAATCTGTAATCCATACTGTAGGGACAGGACTGATTAAGACCAAAAGTAGAATCTGATCATTGCCTCTGCCCTATCTCAGAGATACTAACACCTGCCTTTCAGTATGAATGACCTTAGTGATCAAACTGTATATTCTCTCATTTTCAACTGGATGTACGGATTGGTAGTTTTGCTCTTTATTTTGTCATCTGCAGCAATTCCACAAGCTAATGAGGTCTACCTAGCATGTAATGCTGAAGAGATGAATTTAAAAAAATGAAGAGGGATAAATTTAGCATTATAAATACAGAGCTACTCTGTATTTCATAGGCAGTATAATTTGTCACTGTATTTACTGCTATCACCTCTTTTATTATCACCTCTTGTGATAATTATATAGAAAGAAACAGGTAGATGTTTGCCTAAAAGGGATTCACCCAGTAGCAATGCAGACTTACCAGCTACTGTTTTACAGAAGATCCTTTTGGTTCATTTCTATGAAGTTATTAAACTGCCCTCTCATCTAAATGAAAAGATCACTTTTCCTTAAAAACTGCCTTTAAAGTGGCTAGCTGAGAAACTCCTTGTCTTTATCTCTGTTCAGAACATCTGTTGTTATGGAACATTGAGCCACAGAGACTATATCTTCAGATGCCAAAGTACAGAATTATCTGTAAGAATAATATGTTGGTTTAGTTAGTTACAGAAAGACCCCAGAACACTAACTGCTATTTGTCTTTTGGAACCACAGATGTTATTGAAACTGTTCTGAAATCTTACTTTTTATTACCAACTCTTTACTAATTACTGGTAGAAAATTAGTTTTAAAAAATTTAACCCAAACTAATACCTATTTAAAAACCATCTACCGTAAACATTCCTTGTTATACCGCTTCAATTTACATCGGTAGATACTATTTTCCCTGTAATTATTTGCTTTTGTAAAATTCATTTCACAACTCCATAAATCAATTTTAAAAGTAAGGAGGAAGTTACATATTGGTCAGCATAGCAACTGTGAGAATGAAAAGTAAGACTAGATGCTGGAGTTCAATAAGCCAGTTCAATTTTTTATAAGTAATTAGGTGTTATTGGTAACAATTACAAGAAATTGTTTAGTAGTTTGATGGCTCTAATATTTTATAGTGGCAGTTTTTTATTTCGTTAAATTCTATGCTATTGTTTACATAGACCTAGAGGGAGAACTGATAATCAGAGGTGTCACTATACACATATGTCACACCTGATGTCCAAAGCAAGTATTATTCCTTAGTGTGGACAACCCCATAGTTTGCAAAAGGAGTCCTTCTGACTTAAGCTGACACTGTGGTGCATCATATTCTATCTGTCCTAAAGCACATGAAAAGCAGACCTGGAAAAGGGCAGCTAACCTAACTCAGTCCTTTGCAAATGCAGGGTTGTTCCCTTTAAAGACCAATTTTATGCACTAACTGTATTGAGCGTACAAGGCTTAAAAAACTCACAAGTAAGGTATGGTGAAAAATCATGATGCATTTTAGGTTGTTTTAATGTTCCTCATCACTTCTCCACTTTTTATTAATGTAAGTGAACCCAACTTTATTATACAATAAGCCCTGCTCAGTTATTAAGATACAGAATTGCTTCCATCAACTTAATTTGTGTATTAACAGTGAAAGTATAGAACAAAATTTTTACTGCTTGTTGTTTTATACTTTAGATGTAAAAGAACACATTTAAAATCCAGTGAACATTTTTTTTCTTTAAATAAAATTTTAAAAAGTTGTTACTGGTTGTAACAGAAAAAGAAATTGAGAGAGTAACGTGACAAATACAGTGATCTGAATGTACGGTTGGATATATTCAACTTGCCAGATATTCACACCCTGGGCTAAGTGCAATCCTTTTAAGTGCTGGAGTGGCACCCTTTGGCAGCCTGAGCTCTCTGATGGAAACCCAGACAGTGCGGGTCATGAAAATGTACTTCTGGGACTCAAAATGGCAGTGTTCCATCTGAGCAGCTATTTCCCAAGGGCAAACACTTCTGCATACTATTACTTCTCTCAATCCTATATATCAATTCCTTATTTCTTCTAGTAAATTGAAAACTACCACAGATTTTTACCATATGGTAATAAAGATATTTTTAAAGTTGGAAAAAAAAAAATGTTTAAACATTTGATGTATTTTCTGAATTTGGATAGAAACCAAGGGAGAGGACAGCAAAAGTAAGTGATTTGATGCTCTTTCTTACTTTGGGGTAGTTACTGAGCCCGCATTACCCCAATTTTCAAAAAGGTTCAAATACGTTCTAATTTCCCCTGCACTGTTCCCCATAGACCCTTTGGCAGACTCCTAACAAACACAGTCCTCGAAGGCCCCAGATCTGACGGAAACCTCCCTATCAGTTTTAGCACCTGCTATTTCTACCCAGCAGGTCTTCTGCATATCCAATACATTAGGTGCTTTCTTTCTCTCTCCTTGATGCTGTTAGTTTGGTGAAAACAGGACATCCTATAGCATAAAACTGGATTTTTACATTTTTTAAATAAAATCTTTAATCACTAGAGTCCAAGCCTTATCTTCACTATGGCTGTTTAATATACTGAACTACTTCTGCGAAGAAACCTCACATTGAATAACTTCCCTCTTTGCTTCTTGCTAAACTGTGTCCTAGAAAGACTCAGTCTGTGGTAGAATGGAGAACAGCTTTAGGAGAGGAGTCTTTGACCACCCTCTGTCAGCCTTTCCGTCTTAGCATCTCTTTCACAGGGTACCTTGAAAAAAAAAAAGGCATGATATTCTACACGTATCCTTCTGTACTGCACTTTTTATTATAGGAGACCTTTTATTACAAGATCCTTGATTAGCAACATTAGGGCTTATGCCCTCAGGAATGACTTTCAGTCATTATTAATCTAATAATTTGTATTTAGACAGCGACAGGGCTTGCACTATAAAACCAAATATTGTTTGAAAGCTTTTGTGATGGCATGAGGTGGGCAGGAAAAGTCCAGCTGTCAGAATCAAAACCATACTCTGCAGCATCAAACTTCAAAGAGCATAACAAAATATTTTCAGGTTCAACTTTACCACCTGACTAAAAGTACCCTGTTCTAAATTAAAGCAGGCCACTGAATTGAAAGACTTAGATAATAAAGTATTAAACCAAAATATTTAAGCAAGTGAAGAACAGGATTTTAAGTGAAGTTTGACTAAGGTTTTTCATTATATACACTATTTAGAAAAAAATATTACTAATTACAAATGACCAGTGTAAATGTTATGTACTCACAGAAATTAGGCCTTCTGGACTGGGCAATTTTGTTTTGTTTTTTTTTTTAAATACCATAGCCTAATTTCTTCAGCATGTTTATACTACCACAAGTTAATTAAAAGGCCTAAGATATTTCATAAATATATTCTGTCAGTACTTTCCCTTACCAAAATGTTACATCTACCCATTTTCAAGAAGAGCTGTCTTTTTACAGGTTTGCTTCTGACAAGTCACCTTAACTGTGCTGAAGTAGTACAAAAAAACCTTCCATACATTCATTCTAAAGCACACTGACCTAATACAGAAGCTACATGATATCAACACTGAATTTAAGCTTGAGTAAGACTTTATACATGAAATTTAGTAGAACTATGTCAGCAATTTGTAATTACTATGTAGTATTTTTAGCTCTTATTTCTACAGAAATCTTTTCTGGAAGCATGTTTAAATAGTCTTGACTCTCTTAATCTACATACTCTGAGAGTCAGTTTC